ATGAACATAATCAATATAAGCGTACTTCACAGTGACCATAAACGTGGTATAACATGTTCATGCATGCGTTAATAAACAAGACAACCATTTTAAGTATATGTTGTAAAACATGTATAATGCATATATATAAATTACGGTGGAGTACGATTGTGCGCGTTTTACCTTTTTGGACATACGATTGCGCGCAGTGCCAGAATAACAAAGAACACGCTTTTGACTAGTCAAAGGCGTACGATTGCGCGTGAAATTGGATGCGACGTTGCCAAGTTATTATTAAAATATAAAATAATTATTATTATTAAAAAAATTATAAAAAAATTTGTTATTTGTCGTATATGTTGTTAGGTTAAATTGTATGTGTATTGTATGTATGTTAAAATGTATGTATTAAATTATATGTGTTTAAGTTAAATAGTACAAATAGTTACAAAAAATAACAGATACTTTATATTCACACTTAGTCTAATTTAATAAAAAAATCGTTGTAATAAAATAATATAAAATATTCGAATAGATATCGAAAAAAATTTAAATTTTAAAGCCCTGATATTTATTTCCAATTATGGCTAAATACTTAAGTAAGTTTTCTGGTGTTTTATTTCTAGTTCTTCCTTTGATTTTGGCTTGATTTTTCCTTTGGAAATGGTTGATAATTTAGTGACGGTTTCTGCCTGAGTTTCCATAAGCGTACTTATAACAACAGATGTCGGAGGATGAGCACTAGTAAACTGGGCGTTATATGTTTTATGGAAACGTTCAGCCCCGTTTGTAGTTCTGAAATGTATGAATATAGTAAACAATATTTTTTTTTGACTTATTAGTATGTTAAATATATACCTAGGATTTAGTGATGGCGTTTCAGCCCATAAAATAAGTGGAAATAAACAACCAGGTTCAACATACGTCTCCAAAACATAGTCAGAAAATAATTGTCCATCTGTAATATTTGGATATTTACTTATAAGCTCTAAAAAAGCATCCTCCACGTCATCTGGAGCGATGAAAGAAAGTCCAAAAATGATTTTAGCCATAATTGTAAATCGTTCTTTTGATCGTTGTATGCCATTCTTAGCTTTATATTGCCATTAATCTGAAAATTGATTTTGATCAATTATTTCTAAAAATATTCATATTGATTCAACTTACTTTGCGCCACCAAGCTTGTCCTAAATGAAAACGGCATGTTTTAATTTTGACATCCGGAAAAACTTCTTTTGTTGCTTGATAGCAACAATTTCAAAATGAATGTGTAATATTTCAATTTTAAAAAGTAGTGATTGCTTTTCACATATATTAATTAAATATTTCCATACATTTATGTATGTGTTTTTAAATTTATCCTTTAAAAAAAAGTATACCAAAGGCACGTAAACACCGTTTTTATAGCCATGAATGGTGTATAATTGCAAAAAAAAATTTTGGAGCATAGTCGAATGTTCCGTCCGAAAATATATCTGTGCAACTTGTCAAACATTGAAGATACTCTTCAGTTGTTAAGCAAATAAAAGTGCAATCATCGGGTAAATGTATAAATTTTTTCCCTCTAAACATAAAAAAATCTTCATTTTGTAATTCGTTCAGTTGCGTAATGGCATTTTCTAAAGATGAAGGGTAAGGAGGAAAGTTTTTTTCTTCGTTGAATATACATAGCCTTTCTAACTGATTTTATATCATTATATTCTAACTCGGTACTCACGCTATTTATAAGTTGACTTCTAATTATTTTTATTGGCCGGGTAGCTATGGAACTTGTAGCTTTACGTTTACAGTTTTCCCTTAAAACTTGCCTTTCGATTTTTTGAGTAGAATCTACTAGGTGGTTATGCTCACCAGCAATTTCTATCATTATTTTATTGTCACTTGTCATTAAGACTGTACAAGTACAGGGTTTTTTACATCACCTCCATCTGTTATTTCCATCTGCCCGCTGTCTGATGTGTCGAAATTTGTGTTTCTTCACCACTAACAAATCACTACCCCTTTCTGAACTTAGTATGAAAATTTTATTCTCCATTTTAAAAAATTAATTATAAATTGTTAACAATGCGAAAAATATACGTTGACAGCTAAAACACGAACACGAATACAACTGACATTTCAGTAAATACGTATAGACATACAATGCGAGATCATAGTTTAGGTATATTTGTACATGTGAGGGAATTTACAATAAAGATAAAAGTATGATCTAAAATAAAATTATCTACTTCTTAGTGATGGAAAGTTTGTCTGGTATCGGCGATATTAAGTAATAAATAACGTATGGATCACCACAATCGGAATCTAATCGGATATTTACCATGCACCTATAATCTGTATATTTGGCAACGTTGCTTATAAGGAAAAATAATTTAGCACGCGCAATCGTACACCTAAAAAGGTACCGTTGATAAGGACCGCGCGCAATCGTATTGCAGCCATAAATTAATATTGAATATTTTTTGTATTTGTATTTATAAATAAAATTATGTAATGATTAAAAAATCAAAAAATTATCGAGGACGGTTTTGTATCTCTAAATTAATTACTTAACTATAATATAAAATTGTATACTACCTCTCCCATCCTAGTAGCGACCTCACTGTTGAAATTGTCGTTAGCTTCCGAAGCATAGGATGAAATGATCGGTTTGTGTTTTAGAATAATAAAACCTTTTTATCTGGTTCATTATTATTAACTTTATTTCATTTTTTAAACACAAATCAACACTCATATTTTAAGTTATAATAACAAATGTGTAATTCAGCTACAGCTAAAGGCTAATGACTATTATAATTATTTTATAATAAATTTAAAATTTAAGAGACGTGATGGCTTAAGCGCACATCATTACAAGTAATTCAATAAAATACTATTTACAAACACATTTATTTTTATGTGCCCGACTTCTTGATCACTCTGTAATAGAACGAGCGTGATCCACCTATTACTATCAGATCAAAACTGTCTCTTTAAGGAACGAAAACATCGACAACGCTGTTACGGGCACACATAATAATGATTAATAATTATTTATTACATAATAATATCAAGGGTACACACGCATAGGCGAAGATCGGGCTGGGGCTTATCCCCCCAAATAAAAATTTGAAGTTAAAGCCGCCCTAAAAATATTAAACAAACAATACCGTACTTTTATACAGGTTGTAGAATTTTTATCATTATTGTATATTCTTATATCCACAATTATATTAGTGTACCTAGTTTGTTTTTGAAAGAGGCGATATTGAAGATATCAAAAAGAATACTTCACCTTAAGTATTTCCTAATTTTTATAAAATTATATAACTTGCTTTAACACTACCTATTACTTTTGCCATGTGCGAAAGTTTTTTTGCTATAAGGATAATAAAAACATGGCTAAGAACACCTATACATCAAAAAAATTTAATGAACTTTTAATATTATATATTGAAAAAGTTAAGACTAAATCTTTAAGTAATGAAGCTATTTTAAATACTTTTAACCAAAAATGTAATAGAATAATAAAATTAAGTTAAAAATGGTAGTTGTATTTTATTAATTATTCTTTCTTTTTATATTTATAAGTATTTAAGTTATTATGATAATGAGAAAACATTGTATGAGTGATTTAATGTAAAAATTAGTTAGTTGGGGGCGTAGGGGCAACGCTCCTACGAGTCTGTTTGGCATCAAATATTTGAGCCCCCTTAATATTTCACAGAATATTCGCTTATGCACACAAGACTATACATTAAGAGTCAAACAACAATACACACATGTAGGAATATTACAACCAAGGGGTAATCTTAAACATAATGCATACACGGAAGAATGTCTTGGATAGTGAATTTATACTCAAAATACTATAACCGAATTTGAAATACATTAATAATTAAATATAGGGCATTAATAATTAATATGATAGGCAAGTGTAGTTAAAATGATGAATGCACGGGAATTACGTATTAAATAATATCACACAATGAATATGTGAAAGTGTGTTCACAACACCTTTTTCCAGCCTGGTTCACATGATGACACTGATGCCATGACATTAATTTGCATGATACTATCATGCTAAAATGATAATTTATCACTGATAAATGTAGACTGCTGTTTACATGTAGTCAATTATTTAAATAAATATTAACACTAAAATTATGGTTGTGATAATTATTTGTTATATTAATATACCACTTCACATACTATTTAACAATTATCAATCTATTTTGTTTTAATTCAGTTTGTTTTTGTTTAATGTAATTAAATAATTGTTTTGTTAAATTAAAATGTTCAATTATTACGTTTTAAACAGAGCTGTGGCTGTTTTAGATATAAAAAAAAAAAAAAAAAGAAAAAAAAGGAATGGGTTAGAAAGTGGATAATTCGTAGGGATGCATAAAGTGCATCAAAAATGTTATTAAAGGAGTTGCAAATGGAAGATCCCAGGTAATTTTGTAACTTTGATTTCACAAGAAAGCGATTGAATAAATTGATAATACTTAGTAATAACCATTATACTTCGTGTATCTTTAATCGTGGTAATAACAAGGTTTGACACCAGTGTAGCATATCAAATATTTTTGATCCACAGTACTAGTGTCGCGATATCATATTGAGGCACTAAGTTGTTCAAATGGCGACACTGCTTGGACATTAAATATCATGGCACCTTGTGTCACTGTGTGAACTAAACTTAATTCTAGGGTTCATATTTTTTTTTTTTTTACAAAAATAAACCCTTTCTACCATTTTATTTTCGAATGTTTTGGTTATGATTAATATGGATAGTAACAAAAATGTCCAGTATTTAATGGTGATTCGATAATTTTACATTTAGTTACATTTTCTTAACTAAATTATCAAATCCCATTCGTAAAAGTAATCAAATTATATAATTAAAATACATTAATAGTTATACTAAATTAACTAAGCTACATGTCCGCTCACAATACCGTTGCATGTGATTTTCAGCTTCTGATATATGTCTCTGGTTTCTAAACTACGAATACACAAATCTGATAATACAATTTTGATTTGAAGATACTACTCTGGTTTTCTGTTTTTTTTTTTTTTGTAGGAAAATTGACTTTCCTACTAAATTTATTGGTTGAATTTATTAAGTATATTTATAATAGCTTAATTTATATAAAGCCCTTTTTGGTAATGAAGAAAATGTTTTAAATTGATTATTATAAATTTGAAATTTACATTAATTCTTATTATTTTTTAATCTAATCAAAAGATTCTCCTGATTCTTGAATTGGTGGCTCATCACTAGATTGACTTACTATTGCTGCTGTTAGTAATAAATTTTTTAAGTAGTCGCTCCACATTTCTAATAATTTTGGATCGTGTTCATTGTTGTCTTCTATCACTTCAAGCACAGCTCCTGCACTACATATGAGACGAAATCTGTTTGCCTTTGTTAGACCTTCAATAACTAATGGTGGTGGTTCTGATCTTATTAATTTTGTTGCTATTCCTACTGGTTTCTTTTTCTCACTGTTGATAGAGAATAGTTAGTTTATTACATTGATATCTATTATAACATTTTTTTTCTTTTTTTATCATATATATATATATATATATATATATATATATATATATTGATATTTATATTTTGTTTTATATAATAACAAAATCATGAAACTCCAGCAGAAAATTAACATCTTATAAGAATTCAATTAGTTTTCTTAGTTAAATACAAAATACGGTATTATCTGAGTTATGATTATCTATAGATTCCATTGCAAAAGTAAGTGGTTATGTACCAATGGAATTTTATATTTGTATAACTACTTTATTAATGAAATTCCCTACTTAGTAATAAGTATATTTAATGGTAAATACAGAATTTTCTTGAACCTTAAAATTCAGGAAATTTAAATATTTAATTTGGTTCACTATACAGAAGCATTATGATTTTGTGTGTGTGAGACATCATAAACTACTGACAGCTTAGGTATTTATTCATTGTCGTTATTTTATTACCCTATGTACAAGTATAGTTCATACCTACGTTTAATAGGCAATAAACTAGAACATAGAAGCTTATAAGTTAAAACTAAATAATTATTAATTACTTACTCTGCAAGTTTTTGCTGAAAAGTGAGCAATGACAATTTTCGAGATGGAATCATTGGAAGAAAACAATTAAAACAAATAAAAAGTCAAACAGTAGATACTCAGAAACTCAAGTAGTATTTACAATACGCACAGTCGCTACACTAATGAACTGTTTACTGTCGTTACTCGTTGACAAAAGACAAGACACTAGTTAGAACTTAGCACAAAGTTAAAAACAATAATAACCTTAAAATTATAACACTGCACAGTTCTTCAAAGACACAATTTAATAGACTGCGCTATCCTGTCTTCTTAACACAGTTTTTAATAAGTTGATATTGAGCGAGAGAAATGGACTAGGATTAGAACACAGATATCTATATTATAGTATAGTATAAATGTCTGTGGATTAGGAATGTAAAGAACAGCACGGACTAATAAGATAATAGAGGACTAGAAACAAATAGGTTGGAGGGTGTGGGAGGAATCGGGATGAAAGTATATAGAATGAGATGTTTACGAGGGAGGAGGGTTCTTCCATTATGCAGAACTAACGCCACCTAGTTTATCAAAAAGATAACTTCTTTGACATTTCCCTGCCATTCATTGTGTACAAATAATATATATATATAATACAATATTGTACTGACTATAGATGATATATTACTAGAAAATTCGATATTTTAATGAACACAAGGCTGTATCTGCTCTTACTAATTTAAAATCAAGAGGTTAACTTATACATTCTAATCACAACTTCTTTAAACTAATAACTGCAATAAAAGAAGGTTTTGTCAAATACGCAAATGATTCAGATGTTTTTAATAAATAAATTGAATTTGTCCTTAAAGGACCATCCAACTCAAAAAATCAATAATTATTTTACTACCATAATAAATGTAATAGAGTCTAATTAAGATAATGATACAACTAAAATTCGTTTATGACTATTCGTTCGCTAGTCATGGTGATTTTTGACATTGCGCGTGACGTCACAGATTCGTTCGCCAAGGCGGCGGCCATATACAATACACGGCAATATTTATCCATTTATGGTTTAACATAAAATAACTGCTAATAAACTTATTTTTTTCGAATGAACTAATCAAATGTATTTAAGAGTACCTCATAATCTTTACGTTTGTATAATTATAGCATATTTTGGTTTAATCTTTTAGACAAAAACAACCTTTAAATAAATTATATTATGAATTTACCATACATTCACTGCAGTACCTAAACGTGTATAATAAGAATGTATTATTCGTGAGTGAGTTGACTCAAAGAGTCGACTCTTTTCAGTAAATTAAATGAATTGAATCAGTGTGTCGCAAATCAGTAACTCGGCAATTCAATTAAACACTGCAAACGAATCATGTATTGATTTGTAGATAAACTTAACCAAGCTTGTAAATGAGTTTAATCAGTCAAGTCACTAATCCCAAATCTGTAATTATCGTCTTATCAATAAGTTTAGTGTAACACTGTTGTTTATGTTTAACTATATATAGTTATTGTTTCAACACTGGAGTCCCTTTAACTCTTCATCAGCCAAAACTGAGGGTCCATTCTGATTTAATCTAGTCTATGGTGGTATTGCGCATGCGCGAACTGTTATCATTAAAATGTTGGTGTGCGTCATTGATATATAATAGAAAAATATAATATTAGAAATTGCCGCCCTAAGTACTAGCTTATGGTGTTTACTGGGCCATGTTTCAGATTTCAGAAAAAAAAAAAACAAGAGTACTGAAAGTGAAAGAATTACGAACTAAACACAAGAACTTTGTTAATCATACTTAGTAATTAGTATACTTGTCTATGTATTTAATTTGTTCGTTTTATTTTTAATTTTTGGTTCAGTAAAGTTATTTCGTACAACTATAATATTAAAATTAATTATAATTATACAAAAAAACCAGAACTAAGATAATATATAGCGTCAGTATATTAGTTTGCGATATATAATGATAACACGCTTGCGCAAGCGCAGTATCACCTTGGTTCAATTCAGTTTTTAGACGCTCCTCTCAGATCGGGTGTGGGCAAGGCCGTAACTGGAAAAAAATTTCGGGGGGTCTAACATTATTATTTAATACAATTTATAGTTAATAAACTATATTCACCGCTAAAATGTTTCTACTTTTGAAAATTTCGGGCGAGGGGGAGGGGTCCGGACCCCTGGACCACCCCAGTTACGGCCTTGGGTGTGGGTAGTTGTCAGAAAATTGATGAGTATTTGAAAAATGGTTGTAAAAACATAATACCTATATTATGTTAAGTTTTAAATTCATTGGTATTTTCTTTTGAGGCGGGGGGATATGGGGTACAGATCTACCTCATGGTCTTTCTTTTTTTTTTTTAGGTAAGATGAATTTTCTAGATTAACTGATAAGAAATATTTATTATTTTAATGAAAATTTAATAAATTATAATTTTTTGACTCTATATCATTTTCCATCCGAATATGAAATTGGTATACAAATAGAAAATTACTGTCCACGGTTACAGATTAATATATAGAATTTAATATTATATAGATGTAAAGTATAAAAAATAAATTAGTCTCAATATACCATCAATAATACAAGTGATAACATATTTGAGTTTATCAATTGTTTTTAGCGATTTGTATAGTGTATCGATGAGTAATAACTGACTAACTTGTACTTTTATTTTTGATCAAAATTACTATTACTAGTACTGATATAGAAAGATGTAGGTGAAGGAAACAAAAGTAAAGTGTCTGAGCAGCTTGATGTAAATTGTTGTAGTTTTTTTTTTATATATGAAAAAGTGTGGAAGCTTAGCCCCCACAGCTTACCTTTTAATACATTTTCATATCCCCCCCTTCACAATAAAAATACTGAGAACACCTCTGTATAAATTAATAAACTTTTTATTCAGTGTTCATTTAATATTAAAAAAATATGGTCACACATTTAAAATCAATTATTATAAATACAGTTATGTAGTTTTAAATAGTTTAAAAAGATCACCTATTATAGTAGGTATTTAAAATTGTAAGGTACTTCTATAATAACTGATATTTATGTGTAACCATATATTGTTAATATTAGTTGAACATTATGTAACAAGTTTATTTATAATAAAACATTATATATTGTGTTTTCATAAACATTTTTAATATACTCTAGGGATGCTAGTTACATACTATATGACTACAATTATGTCATTGATTATTATAATATACAATCAATGATCATATTTATAAAATTTACAATGTTTTTACTGTAGTTGTTAAGTATATTTTTTATAAGTTTTTTCTCCAATGTAATATAATAGTTAATAATAATATTAAATGTTTAAAAAATAAAATAAAATATTTTTGCAATAAACATGTTTTTATTGCTCAAGTTAAAAACAATATATAAATGTTAAGAAATATACTAACTAAAAAGTATGGTAATAAATAGTACAATGGGTATTATACATATAGAATAAAACCATATACATTTTTATAAATATAATATGTATTATAGTAATAATATATAAAAGAAAAATATCATAAATATTATTATTTTTTTTTTAAGTTAAATTGAAATTCAATAAACATTTTTATAAATATAATATATATTATAGTAATAACATATAAAAGAAAACATTACTTATAGGTAAATCTGTTTTTTTTTATTACTTAAATTGAAGTATAAAATAATTTTATGTAAAAGTGTTAATTATCATCTGCAATATGATTATCTTCATTGTCAGGCTGATGAAGATAATCTGCAGTTTCTCTTCTTTTTTTTAGTTTTTCTTTGCTGTAAACAAAACAATGAAGGAAATTTTAATATTTAAAACTTGAAAATATTTTAAAATTTATATTGCTTTATTGGTTATATATTGATTAGGTGTATAGTATATCTTAAGCACTAAATAATAATTAATAAATATAAAAAATGGAGTATAAGCAAACTTAAATATTTAATACACTTAATCATTTTTACTAACATAATAAATTAAAATGCTTTGAAATTTTAAATAGTTATAAAAAATATCAAATTAATATTTATATATATACATACAAATTTAAATAAAAAACTATGTTTGTAATATCATAACAAAGTGTCTCATTTAAAATCAATTAGTCGCAATGTTTTTTTTTCATAATTAAAAAAAAAAAATATTTATAAAATAATGTATTAATTATCTCATTATTTAGGAATAATTAAATTTGTGTAATAATGACCCATTAAGAAAATGTTAAGATAAATTAATGATCATAACAACATTTTTAATTAACAACTTAGGGTAAAAAACATAGTCATTTATATTGTCATATATTATATTATTGTTTTTTCAATATTTAGATTTTAGATTTTCTAAAAATTATATATATAATAAATTAGACTAGGTTATTACTTTGCAATCCTTGTTGGTGCCTATGCTTAGCCACGACATAATACAATTATTGATTTCATTTCTGCAATATTTTTGTTCTGGAAATGTTATGTCTAACAGCACCTTAAAATAATAACAATTAATTTAAAACTATTTCATTATCAGTTTATAAAATATTATGTGTAAACAATACCTAGTACAAAATATTTTTGACATAATAATAATAATAATAATATCATGTCATGAAAAAATAAAAAGATACCTTACCTACCTTTAATGAGTTTACATATTTTAAATTTTGAAAATGATTTTTTATTTTTTTGACCTTTTCAGTTATAACACTCGAGGAACTCATTAGATACAATAAGATACAATAAGTGACTTTGAAAATATTTTTTCCTTCAGATGTAAAATTATTGTTGATACTTATGTAAAACAAAATGTATATATTATATACAGATATTCCATAATAATAAAAAAAAAAAATACAACATACCAATTTATTTGTGTAATTTAATTCTTCATTTTGTAATGTTGATTTCATTGCTAACAGTTCACTTTCAGTTTTTAATGGAAAACATGATAAATAGTTGTCTTCAGAATTTGTATTTAAATTTGACTGATTGGATGCCAGTTGATCTTCAATAATGGATGAAACATCTTGTTTAAGATAATTTATACTTTACTTCATTCATATCAGCTATAAAAAATATAATTTTATGGGTTAAAATACTACTCTTGTAATATAATAAATAAAATTGATCAATCAGAATTAAAATTAGTTTCTGGCATAGTTACCTGATAGCTTACAAAATTGATGACCAACAGCTTCTAACAAACTAATATCTTTGAAATCAAAAGCACAAGAATGTAAAACTTTTTTGGCTAATTTACATTTTTCAATATTTTTGACAGTTCATTTGGTATAGGACTTGTAAGAAAATACTTCTACTAGACTGAACTGATGACTTATTGGTAAAACATAACATGTCAAACTCATTTCTTGGCGGAAAAATATTGTTACAATAATTGTTAATCTCATTAAATGATTGTAACTGATTTAGTCTTAAAAATTAATTATTAATAACTTTATTATAAAA